CTCCCTCGTGTTGTGGAAGCTGTCCTCAGTAAAATGCGCAGCACACAATAGCAAATTGTGGTTATAATGTTCAGGAACAAAGTTAAAAAATAAATAGCAAACACTGTTTCCTGACATCATCCGCTTTCGGACGCCCAACACTAACTCTGCAGCAGCACTTCTTCTTCACCGTCTCGTCTGATGCACTCACTCAACCAAGCGTTCTAACCACAACCTTGCCCCTCCCCACCCCCCAACCATTCGAATTTCTGTAGGTGGGAATTATTTTTAATGATATTCTAATGAGCCGCTTTGTGATATCACAAAGCCCGGAAACCAATGCTGTAGTCCAGATGAGCCGTTCGTTGTAGTTCTTGAAAAGGGATTTTTTAAAAACGAAATTTCTCCCTTTGGAGTGGACTTTGAGATTTGTAACTTTCTAGATCTTTTTTATGCCCAAACATACACACTACACACTGACTAAAATTAAAAAAGTGAAAAAGCATAATAGGACCCCTTTAAATCAGGCGCTAAAACAATGCAAACAGCACATCACAGAGCTATCAACTGCACCATTCATTCATTGTGAATCCTCCCAGCATTGTTGTATTTTAAAATCTTGTTTTCTAAGTTCTTCATGCCAGAAATTCAGACTTGGTACGCACTGGAATTTGTCTTTGTGGATAATGCAACAACTACAAGGGACAAATTCATTTCAGCCTGATTCGTTGGGTCTCCTCTTGGAGCACCAGTGAAATTTCCCAAACTAACCTGAATAAGCCGGCCTTGTTCGGTCTGCAGAGTGCTGAGCTCCTGTCCAATGTTGCTCTGGCCTTGTCTCAGCGCGTTGTACTCCATCTTCAGCTGACTGGCATGGGCGGACAGCTTGGCCACCTCCTCGGCCAGTTTAACAAGCAGAGCCCGATCTTGCCCTTTCACTGACTTTAGATCAGTGTCATGGTCGGTGAGCGAGTGCAGCAGTGAGGTCTGCACACCCTCCAGACGCAGGAAGTTATTGTTGTAGTCGGGGCAGTTGGGGTCAATGAAGATGTTGATGCGGGAGCCGTCGCTTCTCTCGATGGTTACCAGGGCATTACCTTCATCCTGGTTAGTGCTGATGAGAGGGGGGCCGTCCGGGCCGCTGGGCGCTTGGTAATGGTTCATCAGAAGGATGATCCCGGTTACTGTGACAGCCAGTAACACAGCAACAAAGAGCAGGATGGTGCATAGGAGATAGCTACAGCTCATCCTCTGTAGAAAAACAGAGAGACCAGATGCATTAGCATACAGAAATAAAAGACAAGTCTGAAAAGAAGCATTAAAATGACCAGCACGTCAAAGACAGTCGGAAATGTGTGTTGTTGTTGTTTTTCATTTTAATCTTAAATACAACTCCGTAAAGCTGATGCATAAGTAATACACGCTGATTAAACTTGCAGGAGGACATATCAAATCTGACATACACCGATAACACATATTCAAAAGTAGGTTCCCCACAACTGCAGCTTACAAATTTCTAAAAATCCCTGTTGAGCATTAAACATGCATGGAGATGCTTCTTGAAAGTTTAATCTGCTATTATGTAATACCTGAAGACTACCGAATGCATAAATTCAGGCTTTTCACAAAGGTGTTTATAAAAGACGGAAAAGAAATTGTATTTGCTCAGTTGCCTAAGACCTAATCATCATCCCCTGCTCCAGATAATTTAAGTCAGGATGATAGTATTCATAGCACATGAATGCAGCCTCAACCAGTAGGAAACTCTGGATTTTCTCTGAGCCCAGACTTTCTGAATTGGGAATGCTTTGATAAAGAATTGTGGCAAATGCAAACTGATATTGGAGGTAATTACATTTTCATTTTGAGTGCGCTGTTTGGTTTGCAGTGAATGTATTCTGAATAGCAGCAAAGCTAAAATACTACTCATTTAGCTTGTTTAAGAAGCAATTAAACTACATTCTATGTGCGTTTTATCATTCTAGTTCTCCCACAGATAAAGCATCAATTACACATAATGTGCATCATTTGCTCCTCATTATGTACTAGAGATAACATATATTGTGAATATATGAAATTGCTCACATCAACATTATGACCTCTGGGACTTTAAATCAGTATATAATTCCGTTCATGAATTTACGTACATACCCTTTGGAGAATATACAAGATGTTAATAATTTTAACAAAATAAGAGTGGTGATTAAAGAAAATGCATGTTATTTTTTATTTACTACTGTCCTGAATAAGCTGTCTCACACAGATGTTTACATAGAGTCCACCAAGACAAAATAATAACTGAATTTACATAAATTAACCAGTTCAAAAGTTCACACACCCTTGGATCTTAATACTGTGTTGGAGAATCAACAAATGTTTTGTTTTGCAAGGTGTTCCTGAGTCCCTTGTTTGTACTGAGCAGTTAAACTGCACACTGTTCTTCAGGAAAAATGCATTTCTGCGTAACTGAACCCTTAGCAGTGACTATGATTTTGAGATCCATCTACTCACTATGAAGACAACTGAGGGAGGACTCAACTGTTACAAAAGGTGAAAACATCACTGACGCTCAAGAAGGAAACACAATGCATTAAGAGCTGGGGGTGCAAACTTTTGAACAGATTGATGAGATGTAATTATTTCTTATTTTGTTAAAATATTATATTTCTTCATTTAGTACTGCCCTTCGGAAACTACAAAGATGTTTACATGTTTCCCAGAAATCAAAATAAGTACAATTTACACAGATCATCCAATAAAAAAAATGTCAATGCATATTTTCAGAATACCGAAAACACTGTAAATTAGTGCTAGCATTTGAGAAAAAAATGATTACGTACATGATATGTTGATCAATCAAATCCAATTAACCACACAAAAAAATCCATATTAGTACAATTTGTAAGTAAGTAAATTGTAAGTAAATTTCACAGATAATTACAAAGTATGAAGACTGAAATAGTATTTTCTTGTAAAACTTATGTTTATTTACAAAAACTTATATACAATTATATA